GTTACTCAAAACGCGCCAATTTAATCAATTTACTCAACATGTCATGAGTTATTCTATCTAAGCCATCTGTCACTCATGTTCAGAATTGTGCTAATTGTCATTGTTATACTTTATTATTTATATGTTACATGCATCATTGTTAATCAGTTAAGTCCTAGGCTTCGGATTATTCGGGTGCAATTTTTGGATTTCCAGAATTCGCCCTACCGACCTAAGTTATAATCAAGTGCTATTCCATCGTTAGCATTTTTATGTTTCATTGTTGCCGGAAAGTTTTGACACTTATTTTCCCCGGTGATATATCTTTAATTTCCAGTGATTTTTCTTTTCTTTTTTTTTTTATTCTGGGGACCTTAGAAATTATCCATAATTTCTAAAATTAATATCTTATATATTGTAATTTATTTCATAACAAGTATATTACTTTTTTTATGTTTTCAAACATAAACTTACCCGACATTTCAAAGCATTCATGAAACTTTTCCCATATATTTCTGTCATCCTGGATATAAATATTTGATTTGTTCTTCTTTTTTGGAGCTTTTGAAACTTTTGGTTTAAATATCGCATCATAAGCTGGAGGAGCGTCTGGAATATTGAAGATTGAATTTTGTACATATAGTACTTGTAAATCTCTTTTCTGCTTAAACTTTCAGTAAGGCGTGAAATTCTCCGCAAAATACATAATAAGCGTCTCTCAAATGGTGACCTAGATTCTCATTGGTTTTAGAAATTAATAACATTAGCAACTTTAGATTATTGATAACAAAGGATGAGATGACATACATGTAAGCCACACCTCTTTACCGTAAGAAACGGTGTAACTGGTTCCTTGCGTCACTCGTTGACTCTAACTCATTTTTATCCCATGTGTACACTGTATTTCACCCGTGAATGAAAAGCTTTGTAAATTTCAGCATTGATGAGCTAATCCGGCAGCCAATGAGAACCTAGGTCACTATTTGAGAGACGCTAAGTATGTATCGCCGAGAATGTCACGCCTTACTGAAATTTTAAGCAGAAAGAGATTTGTACTAATATGTATATATTCCCGAAAAGAAAAACCACATCGTCTTTTTTAACGTTGAAGAAAATGAAAAGATGAAATATAATTATAGCTGATTATACATTAGATGTAAGATGCAATATACGGCATTTCTACCGAGAGAGAGAAAGCATGCATCGATTTAAAATGGTCAAAATAACTCGATTATTCTATCATGTTGTAAATTTTGAATTTACTAGGGGAAGGTAAATTCAAAATTTACAACATGATAAGTCTCTTCTAACACTTATACAATACATGTATATGTCACTATTTAAAGGAGAATCGTTGAATTCAAGAAAGGGGACACAACGTGCACCTGATCGATATACAGTTTTCCCAAATCCTATTAACTTCTTAGGGAGACCTGGGAACATTTATAGAATTTCCTATTCAGTAATTTTTATGAACACTTTTGTATTATTCTATAGGCGCGTACATATAAATATGACTGATCATGGCTTCGCTGTTCTTGAGAAGATTTTAACAGATTTTTTCCTATGCATTCCTATGTAAAACTTTGATTGCCCATTGTGGTCCCACCCTAATCCCAGGGGTTTTAATTTTAAAGAAAATGAAAACATAAAGTACCTGAGGATGATTTCACTTAAGTTTCATCTTTCTGGCCCAGTGGTTCTTGAGAAGATTTTTTAAAAGATGTCACAAAATTTTCACGAATTCTTAATTATCTCCCCTTGAAAGAGGGCGTGGCACTTCCTGTGAACAATCTTAAAATTCCCTTCATCCAAGAATGCTTTGTGGCAAGTTTGGTTAAAAATGGCCCAGTGATTCCGTAGAAGAAGATGAAATTGTAAAAAGATTTCGTCGACAATGACGACGACATTAACGACGACGACAGACAAGGACAAGATCAGAAAAAATCACTTAAGCTTCAGTTCAGGTAAGCTAAAAAGGGATCCGGGTCTCTTTGAATCCCCCCTAGCTCCCCCCTCTCGTCAGGATTCACCATTTTTAACCAGTGTGTTGTGACGTCAATTTTTAATTTAGTGAATATTTCAACACTTTTTTTAAAATGTAAACTACCGATAGATTTGTGATAGTACATTTTATTGTAGATACACTGACTTGTTTCCTCTTCCTCGGTTACAACAATTGCAGGTGGACTGTTAGCGAGGTCGGATTTGCTTGGATACCCATCACTGGGTCCTGAATATTCCGGAGGTGAGGAAGGAGATGGACCATTCTCCTTCATTTCTTTTAATAAATTACTACTCTTCTCCATTCTTCAATACCTATATCATGGACCGAAATATTGAAAAGATATTATTATCACGAAATTGATCTAAGAAGAAGCTCTATACATTGTAGTTCAGAATGAGATATAAAGAAATTTCGTTGTAGCAACCATTTATATAAATTTATTTTGTTGTAAAAATAATACATTATCATTCTTCTCTTTTAATGGCACGCAAATCCGCCCTAATGACCTAATTATGACCTTAATTACATGTACCAAACAATTTCTTCGTAAAGATCTCTTATAAAGATACATTTTGTAGAAATATATAGCCCTCTAAAACAGATGCATACAAAGTAGCAATTTTTTTTTTAAATCTTACCTGTACCTTTGTTTAGTTAAAGTATCCAAGGTATATGTAGCAGCAGTGACTCGAACTTAGCTAAACCATCCCATCAGATGTATTTTAACATAAACAAGACAGTAATTGAAATAAAATGATGTTTTACAACTGTCTCTGTTCAGAATAAGTTGACATCAGAGATTTTGTAATTGACCATTATAAACCGGACATTGCAGCGATAATCGTGAGCGTTTGAGTAAATGTTTATCGTATTAATACTGCCTCTATACACAGCCTAGTATTTATACGTTGTAGCTCATTATCCTGTTAGAGAGAGAGAGAGAGAGAGAGAGAGAGAGAGAGAGAGAGACTATAAAATTGACTTTAGAGCCTTACTCCCTATCGGCGAGATAAAGAAAAAAATGAATGAATTTCAAACTGTTACGGGGAATGAGGTTAAGAGCCCCAAATTTTTTGTTGTCCAACATCCATGATATAATTACACAAAAAAAGAATTTTGACATGAAATTTCAAAAGTACATGTAGTTGATGACATTTTTTTGAATAAATAACGGAAATAAATTATTGACAGTATTATAAATACTAGCATTTGTTTAAAAATCAACATTCATCACACTTAGTTTTTAAAGGGGGTGGGTCTTAATGAAAACTATGTGAATTTTTGTTAGACATTGAGCTTTTAATGTCGCTCCTAATATACGTATACGTTTCAACTATTTCACTAGTTTTGTCAGGCAGGTAGTAGACCTTTTTTCAAATGGGGAAGGAGCAGGGGTGGGGGAGGGGGGGAGCTTATTGATACATGTAACCATGTAATACACCTGGAAGGAGCGGGGTGGAAGAGGGGCGGGGGGGGGTCATCATTGATACATGTAACCATGTAACACACCTTTACTTAAATCGACAAGCAGCTATTTTTTATTATTTTTTTTATTAATTATCGTCTTACATTAACGAAGGAGGATTTCACTAAACTGCAACAAACAGTGTGTGTGGGGGGGGGGGGGGTCAACCGGCTTCTCCGTGAATATTTCCCTATTGAATTAACAGCAAAACATAGTTACATATATTCTCCGAAGAAAATAGGGGCCGGCCGGGTTGGTCACCCCCTCTCCCCCATATCCTTAGTGACGTTATGTGCCTTTTTGTTTCAATATAATTTATTGCAATATATTTTTGTATTAAATGCATGTCTGGCATTTTTTTTTTTCAAAAATTTTAAATGTTTGATTAAAATTCTTAAACATACATATTTCTCATACTGGCCGATTCTATTTAATGATGTTTTTCTTCAGAATACATGTATTTCCATTTCTTATCAATTACTTAAATAAAAGCACATGTATTATTGTAGCATATCCAGAAATAAAAGGAAGAATATAATTTAATCAATAACAAATTCCTTTTTTTCTAAATCATGGATTTATTAATCTAAACACAACGTATGATAAAGTACATTTTACATATTTAACAATAGTTCACACACATACACAACAGTAAATTATCTCCTTACACTAAAGGTAGGGAATTCCCAGCACAAAGAGGGATACAGCATCAAATCATTTAAAAAAAACTTTAATTTTTACCTTTAAACGGAAATATACGAAATTTAAAAAGGACGGACACCTGTATAACACAGCAGAGAAATTCTCCTACTTACAGTCATTCTAAAAATAATGATCTAAATTTTATAATTATGATCAATGTATACAGATATTTTCTATTCACGTTAATTCAACTTATCTCCGGAATTAAAGAAAGTCAGTAAAAAAGAATAAGATATAAATCATTTTCAAGTGACAATCATTCATTATTTTAAAAAAAAGGACAACATTCTCAATATAATATGAACAAAAATTATTAATAAAAGAACACAAATATTTGGTCCAATGATAATAAGAGGTAAGTACAATACAATTAACATTAGTCCATTTATAAATATAACATGAATGTATATCAACAATAACAACATGAATCTATTCTAAAATTAACACCTTGACCTACTTTTTCATATAGGTAAAATATACACAATTTTCTCAGAAGATTACAGACCCCATCATTATTTCAAGTTCGATGTAGATCTTTAAGATTTTCTCCATAAATAGTTCAGGTACCTAAATTATACTGATGTATATACACTGAATTGTAGTACAATATGGTATTTTATATTCCTTTTTTCTCGGGGAGGGGTCCAAGATATTGAGTAATTTTTGCGCCTTATAATTTACTGGAGATTCGCACTATTAAAACAATAAATACTTCAGTCACATTTTGATTTATATCCAGTAGAAACATGTCATTGTAGTAGTTAGTTTAGTTGAAGCTTTGTAAAAGATGTAAGATGTAGATTGTTCAGTTTTAATGTCAAAAACACATAAAAAAATATATTGCAACTTCCAATTAATACTAAAAACATATTATGCTAAGTTACTTTAACATTTGCAAGATCTTTACACTTTAATTTTTAAGGTTAATGACCCCCCGATAACGGAGATAACTCTTAATGTGATAATTGACTAAAATTTCTTTATAATAAATTTTCAGGTTATTTATTAAGTCAAACTTATGTCAAACTTCTGCCCCGTAAGGTATTCAAAATCGTGTGAATTTCAATTATAAAATAAAATTTATTTTGGAAAGTCATTAGCATTAAAGCAAAATTTTATACCAGCTAACAGGGGGTCAAGGAACCTTAATGTGCGACACAGTCCATGTCCTTTCTACGCTTTGCAGCATCTATCGGATCTTTCACCTTTAAGGACGTTGAATATTCTGTTGCCGTATTCATTCCAAAATTCATCGTGCGAAGTAAAGGCCACAAAATCCTCCATGAAATACGCCATAGTTAACGGTGTCGGTATGTGTTTGACGAACTTTTCTCTGCAGTGACGTTCATCAACATCAGCAAGAATTGTCCAAAATTTGACGAAGTCTTCCTCTCCAAGAATAAGGTTCTTCTTCCGATAGTCTTCCGTCGAAAAGAAGTTGAAAAATCCAGTGATGAATGGCTTAACTTTATTTGCCCTTTCATGGGGAGGTGCCGCGCCAACAGTTCCTTCAAGGTAACTGATGTAATCCTCAATTGATATATCTTTACCGGCTCCACATTTAAATATGTGGTCATTCCACCATTTCTTTTGGTTTGCGCCCGACAATGCTGTATTTCTGGCACCAACAAGTATCCGAATCCGTTCCAGCTTCGCGTTTGTTTTCTCCATGTCGTCTGCACTGATGACGCCATCTTGGTCTGCATCAAGAAGCCTGACCCACTGACGCCACTTATGTCGTAGGAACCACTTCTCTATTTAAAGATATTTATGATATAACATGCTTTTAACTACATTTTGTCAATTATAAGTGCAGTAAAAAGCACTGAAATGGTCTTGGACCATTTTTTTAAAAAAGAAAAAAAAATCAAAATAGGTACTTAATCACATTGCTCAGGTAAGTTGAATTGTTTTTACTGTCAAAATGAATCTGACTTTATACTCTTCATCGAGGTTCAATCTAAGCTGATGAATATGGCATAAAAAAAATACTTCCAGTATTTGAAAATAAGCAAAAAATCTTATACAAATACTACAAATGATGCCAAATCTGCCAAATACAGACACAATTATATAAAGACCACGTTTTTCTTCGTTTTCCATGCCTTATCAAAGTCTTGGATCTCGTTTAAGCACCGGGCGCAGGATTGATGATTTTAAGGCAAATCATTACTTCCAATTTGCTTGATAATGTGACTATATACAGCACTGTTTTCCTCATGATTTAAAGAAACATTAAGCTATAAATCATTAATGCTGAATTTGCACAGAAAGTGTAGAGAGAACAGTTACAGAAAAAAATAGGCTCCAATATTAAACTTCAGTTAAATGCATTTTCGACACATCTATATATGATTTATGTAATGAGAATCCGTTTCCTCCGTTGCTTTCGATTAATTGTGCTAGGTCATTCGATGATGGGAAAAACACACATTTATCAAAAAATACATTAGAGATGAGACGAAATATATAGACCATTTCTATGCCCAATGGAAGCGACTCAAGTTCTATTCTGCACAAAATTTTAACATCCCTTGATGCTTATATACATTAAACATTTTCAAATTTTTGTCGCAAAGGCCCTAGCATTTGCGATTAATGTGAGATAACTAGGACGTTTTGGTGTACTGCATGTTTACAATCAACAGAGATGGAAATATATAAGCTAGATCTCAGCTGCAATCGGTGTTCACGGAAAAGTATAGCTATTGATTAAAGAACGTGGGCGAATAAGGATTGGGAAATATCTATCACTTAAAGTGTATAAAATCAAATTCAGTGTGTAAGGCAAGAAATTAACAAATAAAACTTTTAAAACCTTTATGGAGAAAATTATCTCAACTAATACGAATTGTTACAAAGGCGGTTTCATGGCGTTTTAACACAAGCGATCAAATCTTGAGTATCAGCTTTTTCTTATATACATATACTTTTATCACTAGACCACAAAACTTATAATAGCTAGTGCTGCCACTTAAATCTACATTGTGATATTATCTTTGAATTGCTGGACTTCAAATATTTATGTGAAAGATACGAATGTTGCGTAATAAAATTGTATTTTAAAGATATGATCATGAGTCCCTCCATGTTCTAAAATTATTTCTTATAACCGAAAAATGTATATTTTACCAATACTTTAAAAATAAAGGGGGGGGGGGTCGAAAACCCATACTCATGTGGAAAAAAAGTGTAATAGTATGAAGAAATGATCATTTCTGCCCTCTGATGTGTGCATGCTTTTTCATAAACGAATAACGTCAATACTTTTGAGATTGTAGCAAATTGGGGAAATTTCACATAAAGTGTAAAATGATGTTTAATGAAATATGAAAAGAAAATTTTGTTTTAATTTATTTAATAAATATATTTTTTTTCACTTTCCTATTTGTTGAACGATGAGCATTTTTCTCGCCTTATTCGCCCATCATCTAAATAAATGTTAACTGTGTATCTCACAAAAGCTCAACATGGCGAGTGTCAGAGAGAGAGAGAGAGAGAGAGAGAGAGAGAGAGAGAGAGAGAGATTTCCAAAATTATTCTCATACAATATTATCTCTAATTATGCATGTCAAACGGAACCTTGTACACGTGCAGGGGTTTTTACCTAGTGTCAAAAAAATCATTACAAATCCAGGGTACATTAATATTGCGGTATTAAAGTTGGAGTATTACACCATCTAGAAAAGTTCTGATCAGAAACAAAAATTAGATCTTGGGAGAACACTGACTTATAACAGAGAACATGATCAATGCTTACTTTGTAGGTTAGGCACAAAAAACAAGGCAAGGATGACGTAAAGCGCATAGGGCATCAAGATGACCAGCTCCATGATCTTGGCGTAGTAGTAAAAGCTATAGAACTCTTGATCACACTTGAAGGTTGTATTTGAGCCCTTGTCCTTATAAAATGGAATAATCTTGGAGGCTCCTGCAAAAGGGTTCAGTAACAATATATTCAAATTTTATACCATGTTATATTTTTCCAAGACCTTGGTTTTTAATTTAGAATACATAAATGTAAAAATGTCTAAAAAAAAAAAAAAAAAAAAAAAAAAAAAAAACATTTTTCTTTTTCCAATCTTTAAACGAACGAATATACCTAGAGGTAATTAAATATCATATACAATTCTATTTATCCCAATGATTGAATTTTGTTTCATTTTGTTTTGAAATAAAGTCAAACTTGTGACTTAAAAAAATTCAGTGTATAAGGATGTAGGCCTAGTTGCTGAATATGATGAGGTGCGAACCATTTTTACGGAACTCCTCTGGATTTATCCATCAAAATAACCATATTTTGGTACCCACTAACCCTCATTATCTATTCGCATTTTGATTCTTTGTAGTTTTGATAGTCTTCTGAAAATATTTATAAAAAATCAATCCCAGATCATAAGTATTCAGAGAAAGAAATTTTTCGTACATTGTCTATGAAAAATCCCAAGAATTCCTGGTTTCCTGCCATACATGTATTTTCAATGCCTATATTTTTACTAACTCATATTTTTTCTGCTTCGTACTTTGTTTCAAACAAAGAATTAAAGTGCTAAAATTGAAAAAAATAATGCAAGTTTTCTTAGCAAAAAACATCGTTAATTAATGATATTTTGATTTTCAAATTTCATAGAAATTTTCCTGGGCGTTGGGATAATTATCGTGATACACATCGAAAATCTCTCATAGTATAGATGGCTTAACAACAGAAACAACTAAAACATTTGGTTAAATTACATGTATCTAAAGATCTGAGCGCATAATTGAATTTCATATATACCTAAAATGTAATATACATTTACATGCATCTAAGGTTTGCATTGCCCCAAACAAAATGAAATTATGTTCGTATTGTCCAAACACCTACCTGCAATACACAGTCCAAAATTAGCAATATACAACCCAAGGCCAAGGAAAAACAAATGTCCACCACATTTTTTATAGCCCTCAAGGTCGCTCCGGGAGTGGCGCTTCGTCCGGTATCTGTCCAGCACGGCTAGCAATCGACACAAGAGGACAAACACGATAGTACCACACATGACTCCTCCCTCGACTCGCATAAACCCGGTAAGATCCTCTTGTTGTTCAACTTTTCCCTTCTTATTATACCTTTTCCAGTTGCATTGCCCATCATACATCAAGCCTAGCAAAATTAATAGAAAAATAATTTATTCCTTGATCTTCCAAAATTTTAAAATGTAAATATTATGTAGAATAAACTATCAAGCACAAACTGCAAATGTCTTGATATCATTGCATTCATTATCAGCATTTACGAAAAGCAGATCGCCTGGAGAAGCACTTAATTCTATTTCAAGATCAAAGGTCAAGGTCAAAGAAACTAGCTAGAGGTCAATGATATTTTGACTTACCGTAAACAATGAAGGAAATCGAGAAGGCCAACCATGCCAACCATATTATCAGTTGTAGAACTGAAATAAAAAATATCGAAATATCAGCATATTTTTTTTTATTTTGACTAGAATATTTTTTTCAGTAGGATTATCATCCATATACGGGAAAGTCTTATTAGGACACCTGGACGAAATTTGTGGAGAACAATTTATATTCATATATTATACAAAGTACGTTTTAGTAATCCGGATGCTTCTTTAATCCGGAAAAAAATTCTCTGAAACATAAGAGTCCGGATGAATGAGGCTGAACTGCAAGGGGTGTAAGTTAATCCAGAAGCCTTAATCCGGATGTTTCGATCAACTTCCGGAAAATTCGTTGAGAACATATATCTCTATCAATTATTAAAAAAACCGTTTCAGTAATCTGCATGCTTCATTAATCCGGACGATTTGCTTGGAAACACAAGAAACACAAGTGTCTGACTCGACTGTATTTAGCTGATTTATTTGACAAACTGTGTGGGTTGTCGGCAGTTCTTCCAAGGTTTTTATATAAATTACTGAAACCTGTACACAGAGCGTTTCAGAATCAATATTCTATCATTATTTCATACATTATAAATGTACACAAGTACTTACAAACAGAAATCAAGATTTCCAATTAGGTTTTTAAAGATGCATATTCATAATCCACGATTGTTTTCTTGTATTACCAACTGAGAAAATACTATAATTGATATATTACATGAGAAAATAGATTTTAAAAACTAGAGGGGGAATAATAACTTTTACACCCCGAGCGGAAAAAGGACACGTCGTAAATATATAAGCCTTCAAAGATCATTTTTCATTCATCACTCCACTAGCCTTCAGATCACTTAAATACTGGGGGTATAGTCATTATTATTTCTGAAACAAAAAAAATCATTCTTCATCTGTTTAAAGTAATACTGCTAGATTTTGTTCACTTAATTTTTCATAATATCAAGTACCCACGAAAATGGTACCCAATTATAAAATGGCTTAGGAGAGGATATGTTAGTCGGATTTAAGCAATCTGAAGGCATACATGTGGCAATCGTGTTTTTCTGAGTTACTTTGGAAAGGCCCGAGAAGATGTGATTGGAACTGTAGATACCCCAAGATCAGGATACACATTATAAAAATCGCTAACATGCGCTTCAATTTGTATTCTATGCGTAGTTTATGAGCTGCAGTCAATGCCATTAAAAATAACCCCCCCCCCCCCAAAGGAATCAAATTAATCAACTAAAATGTGTATATATAAAGAAGATGGGTGAACAAGGCGTGCAGAATGCCTATAGCTTCAGATATTAAAAAAATCAAATTCAATTTGTGAATAAGTATTTAAAGTAAAGTTCTCATTATTGAAATTTATGAAATTAAGTTCAACAAAACATTTCTGAGAAAAAAAGATCTCGGAAAAAATTATTCTTTTATTAAAAAATAAAATGGTATTCGTGGTATTCGAACCCTAGCAATAAAAATCCGCAGTATCATATTGCTTTGAGACTAACACGCTAACCACTACGCTACACAGCTCCTGGCGAATTGTGGCATTTAAATATTGTTTGTGATATGACCCTTGACTTAATGGACTTCAAGTATTTCTCAGAAAGATGCGAATGCTTTGTCATAAAAGTATACTTTAAAGGTATAGTGGGCCTTTGCTCCATGTTTTTGTAAAGTAAAAAATGTTTATTTTAATGCAAACTTTCAGGACTCATTTTCAAAAAAATGGAGTGAAGACCCACTCATATCGAACAATTTTGTTAAAGTATGAGAAAATGGTCCTTTTTGTCCTCTTTCGTGTGTATATGCTATTTCTTGGGCAAATAATTTCAGTCTTTGTGAGATTTTTGTTAATTGTAGGGATTTTACATAAAATATACTTTATTATTAGATGAAAAATAAAATTATGATATAATTGAGATTTTATTTTTCACTTCATGTTTGTCGCACTATAGGCACTTCGCCCGCCTTGTTCACCCATCTTCTTTATGCAAAAGGTCAAATTGCCCTTAATTAAGGAACTGATGTGATGTAAATCACACATACATATGCATGTACTTCACATTTTCCTCTTTAACACATTTACAATATCTTTAATAATAGTTACTTACTTGATAATTCAAACCATTCATGAACTTTTTCCCAGAGATTCCGATCATCTTCTTTGTAATTGTTCGATTTGTGTGGTCTAGGGGGCTCTGTAGTTCTTCGTGTAAAGATGGCGTCATATGCCGGCGGAGGACCTGCATGTAAAAGAAAATATATTATATATATATGAGAATATTGAAATAACAACAACAACAACAAAAAAAAAATCTCAGAAACACCCACGTATATCACCAGCAAAAAGTAGATAACATTATGTGCATAGGTTTATATTTATTTCATATTGAATTATTGAAAAAAAAAATAGATATGATCTTGTTTATTCTCAACATATCACAATAAAACAACGAAATAAAAAAAAAATAAAAAACAAACAAAACAAAACACACACACACACACCCTCTCACACAAAACAAAATAATATAAAAACACACACACACATTGTTCTAATGTATAATGTACCAAAAACAATAATAAGTAGTCATGTAATTTATGAAAATACAAAAAAAAAAAAAAAAAAAAAAAATCACTTACTTAGTTCATGTACCTGGTCGGGTGTAACAATACCTGCCGCTCCAATTACAGAAATTCTTGAATTTCCCTGCAACTCATTACTAGTGTTCGGTCCTGAATATGCTGGGGGCGATGTCGGAAGTAGACCGCTTTTCTCCATTCCAGTAAACGAATTCTGTGTTATATCACCCACAGACATTGATCATGTTAATACATACTTTCACATAAAAAATCAGATATTTATAAAATAAAAAATAAAAATGTTTGACGTTCTTTTATAAATATCCAGATATCTAAGAATCAAACAGTAAAGGTATTTCGCAACGGCAGCGTCCGCGATTGTTGCTGCTAAAATATTGCAAAATAGATTTCCTCTCATTGGCATGCGCAGAAGTATTATAGATCATAGGTAATGCACAGGTAAGTAGATCAAAGTGACGAAGCGGGTATGTATATATGTAGGTTCAATTAGCGCATGCTAGCAATATCAACTATTACTCGACCTACGCTGTAATGTATTGGTTTCTTAAACTTCTTAATTATAAAACACATACACTGAGAGTGATCTAGCGCTATAGTTAGTATACGAGTATCGTATTAGGGGTTTAAATGTGTCAGGAGTTAACCAGCTGAGTCCATTTATTATTATTGCTAATTATAAGGTCGAAAAGCGAGAGGGAGAGAGAGAGAGAGCAGGAGTGCACGGCGCTGGTGCGTAGCATTTTCCCAAGGTGTAATGTGAGTGAGGAGTAATGAATGATATAATTATGTTAAATCTTGAATGGACAGAGTTAATTTACAGATGAAAGCCAGAGTTTATAAATTTATGGAGTTTGAGAATTAATATATGCAGACGTTATATATTGTGGACTATGTTATATATACCGTATTCTTTTTGTGTATTTTGTACACATGCATGGCCGTAGGAACCGGGGGGGGGGGGGCACGGGGGGCCGTGCCCCCCCCCCCAATAATTTTGCCGATATATACTTTACTATAGAAAACATAGCTAATACATGTATATGCTTGTGCCCCATCAATAAAAATGTCTGATGACCTTTTTTTTTCTTTTTTTTTTTTTTTGCTTGTCAAGGAATTTTTGGTACATATAGTTGATAGTGCCCCCTCAACTGAAAATGTATAGATGTGCCGTGCCCCCCCCCCCCCCCAACTGAAATTGCTTCCTACGGGCCTGGTACACTGTTCATTAATCACTGCAAAGTGGAAATAAAGTATGAATGAATAAATAAATGAATATATAATATTCAGTGTCTTATGTCAGTGTTTGCAATTAAACTTCAGTTAGTGGCGGACCTAGGATTCTTGAAAAGGGGGGTCCAACGGTGAAAGGGGGGGGGGCAACGGGTTAAGAGTCTGTGGGATGTAAAATAAATGTAATAATTTACAACGCTAAAGATTTCTTAATCTTAAAATGTTTATTTTTGGTCACAAAAACTGGACCCAGACTACCCCTCTTAATCTGCAGGTAAACTATTGTAAATAAGTAATATTAACTGCATAATTATTATAACAGTGTCCTAAAGACTGGAAACCCCTCATCACAAATTTCAAACGTAGAAGTGTCAATGATGCATCCCATATAGTAAAAATGCTTAAATTACGTAAATGAATTAAAAATTAATTAAGTTCTTACATTATACAAATGTCATATACATTATTTTATCATATACTTAGTAGTAAATACACCGATTCTGCACTCTGCGATACGGATGATATCATAATACCCCATATCAAGGACCTGTCCGAAAATTCATATCACGTATTGGACCGGCGTGCAAAAATCCATGTCAAACCGGAAGAACGTCGTATAACGTTTAAAAGTTTAATTTGATTTTATTTAAATATACATGGAAAATAATTCTTAACTAACATTTGTGGAGTTGATTTGTTTTCAAAGACCTAAAATTGGCTCTACATGTATTAGATTTTAAAGAAAAAGGTCATAAACATGCACGAATCATTCTTCAATGACTTTACGTGAACTCGCATATTAAGTACTTTAAATATATGATAAATAGAATACTACATACTGAAATCTATATCATATCAGCCCTCGGACCTTCGGCCCTCGGGCTGATATGGGGCCACTCGGGCTGATATGACATATGATATGGATTTTAGTATGTAATATTCTCTATATATCAATTTATAAAACCTTTTTATTTATAAAACCTTTTTATGCTTTTCGTACGACATTAGTGGGGTTGGGAAGAATTTTTAAAATTTTGCTAGTCTGTAGTCTGAAAGGCCAAAAAATATATTTTTTATTAGAAAAACCATCTTTGGCAACGTCTTCTTCGTCAGAAGAAATGTCACTTAAATCTTTTGCATTAGACGGTCCAGGTTGATTACTTTCAGTTTCTGCTTTGCGCTTTTTCCCTCTTTGCTGTAGGGACAACACTGAGGATGTTAGTGAGACGATCTGAAGAGGAATATCCCCTTTCCCTAGTAGCTTTCTTAAGTGATGAAGAAATTGTTGTGAGACGGATGTAAAATATTAGAAACTTTGACTGCATATTACGTATTTGACCTGGACTACCCAGTAATTTACGGACAGGTTTTAGGTATTTTGCAACTGGTGGTTGGTGATATTTTTACACAAAACAAAACTACAAACTGGAACAATTTAGTGAGCAATTTGGACATGCATATGTTAAAAAATAAATTATTCTCGTAAAATGTGTATTTATCTTTGTTTTTCCCCACAGAACAACAGACAAAAGGAAAATAATGAGGATTTTATTTTTTTAAAAAAATGTGTTAACTGGTTAACATCAGCTTTGGAATTAACATGTTAAAGTGTGAATTAAGTGTTTCCAGGGGTTTTAACGTTTAATGTGTTAATTTTATGAAACATCTCTACATGTTAATAGATCAACACACACGTTAATGTATTTACACTTTAACGTTTGAATTAAGTGTTTCCAGAAAAGAGTTAATAATTGTGTTAAATTATTTACATGATGCTTGAGACATCATGAAGTAAAAGGAAATACCTACGGATACCTTATATATTCCTATTATGTTTTAAATTCATGTGATAGCGGAAAGGAGGAAAGAAGTTTTGCATATGAATTGTCCCCGTCCAAACAATGCATATAATAAACATATGGATTTATCTTTGGAGAAGAATCTTGGCTACATCCTGTATATCATGGCTATATCCTGTATATCTTGGCTACTTTCTGTATATCTTGGCTATATCCTGTATATTTTGTCTACATCCTGTATATCTTGGCTTTATACTGTATATTTTGTCTACATCCTGTATATATTGTGTATATCCTGTATATATCGGCTACATGTATATCCTGTATATCTTGGCTATATCCTGTATATCCTGTCTATATCCTGTATATCTTGGCGACATTTTGTATATATTGGCTACATCCTGTATATCTTGGCTATATCATGTATATCATAAGAAACCCATTACTTACTAATATCGACATGAATATATCAGTATTGATAAATGTAAGACTTTTAAGAAATTATATGACCCCATTTATTATACAAAAATAAAATAAAAAAAATAAAAATAAAAAAAAATTATGAGAACGCATGCTGATTAGCATATAATATAACATGTCATTCTGGTTATGTCATGGCCGTAGGAACCGGGGGGCACGTAGGGCCGTGCCCACCCCCCCCCCCCCTTCCAATGATTTTGGCGATATATGGATTACTATACATGTAGTAAACATAGATAATATAGGCTTGTGCCCCCTCAATAAAAACGTCTGATGACCTTTTTTTTTTCCTTTTTTTTGTCAGGAAATTTTTAGTGGTGCCCCCTCAACTGTCAACTGAAAAATGTATGACTGTCCCCCCCCCCCCCCCCCAACTGAAATAGCTTCCTACGGGCCTGTATGTAGATTCATTAAAACTCTCACAGAACTAAAGAGGTCGGAAAATCGAAGGAGAAAAGTTTTAGTAATAAACCTGTTTAGTTTATCTTTAATACATTTTTGTATTTTCCTAATTACATGTATTATAAAATTATGTTTAACTATTACCATACTAAAAGCGGGAATTTTTAGCGGGGTGCGATCTTTGGCTTATTTAAGGTTTGAAAGTAGCCCGCTAAAATTTTAATAGCTAAATTTACAACTTTGTACATATATGAAAAAAATGAAATACGGATAATTCATAAAAAATTTATTTTTTTGTTCATATTAATATCAAAAACATTTTTATAGAGGAAATCAACTGTTTATAAGTACTGAACAAAAACAATTAGCTTTGATCATTCTTTAACCAGACATTATACTTTTCTGAGCTCTGGTGTAAATTGTCTTGTTTACTGATTTTTGTTTGAAAATTAAAATAAGTGAACGACTATTTAGTCGTGTACTTATTTAAATTTTCAGATAAAAATAAGTAAACGACAATTGTTAGACTTCAACACAGCATTCGTATTTTACTCATAAACAATTTAGAAGAATGCCGGAGAATTTTTCTGAGAAATGAAATATCTATTTCAAATGAAATATCATTTCTAATGATACAAAGATCTGTACCCCATGGCATTCGCTTTTTTTTTTTAAATTGCTACTCTTAATTATAAATGCATTAGATGAATGCCGAAGTATTTTTATGGTATTGATATGAAATGATAGAGAATTATGTCTTATGAGAGAAATACGAAATTCTAAGAACGAACGACCGAAAATACAAGAAAACAGGGTGTTTATTGTATTTACGAATGCATACTTCTCTGATGTCATGACCGTTCACGGTAGGTCAGTCGATAGAGCGCTCGCTCCGTGATCGGGAGGTCGTGAGTTCGAATCTCGGCCGCGACTGACCTAAGGTCGATAAAAAAAATGGGTAGCAACTGTTTCTTCGCCATGCGCTCGGCACTTTGAAGTGAAAGTTGCGGGTCCTTCGGATGAGACCTTAAAAACCGAGGCCCCGTGTCACAGCAGGCGTTGGCACGATAAAGTTCCCTCATTGCTCAAAGGTCCGAAGTGCCGAGTAAAGGTCAAAATTTGAAGCCCTTCACCGTTATATGGTGGCGTCTCTATATGAGTGAAATATTATCGAATGGGACGTAAAACAATATAGTTACAATCAATCATTCAATCTTCGATGTTATGGAGACTTCAACAGATAAAGAAACCCACAAGAAACCTCAAAATTTTGTTGCTACCATGACGCTACAATACAACTCAATTGAATTTAAATGACTGAAGGGGTTTCCACAAGGTTTATAAGAATACCTCATTTTGAAGTACCGGTATACAGTCATTAAAAGGAAGGAAAGGGAGAGGTCGAAATGGACTTCATTTCACACTACTGTCATCACTTGGTAAGTGTAAATATAATTAAAATTAAACAATTAATTTATTATTAAATGATTATGATTGTATGGTGCAAAATTTGCATATATTTCAAAAAATCATATTATCATACAGAGAATGAATGCATGACAGCCGGCAGATAAATTTAGTAGTAAATACAATTTAATATATTATCCAAGAAGATTAATTATTGAATATATTTTGGAAATGACATTTTATACAAAACAGGCTGGTACGTAGCATCCTTTTGGATGGGGATGGGGGGGGGGGTTGCAAAAAGATAAAACAATCTACCTGAAAAATGGGAAAACAGTAAAAAAAAATGTCCCTACTCGAAAATCCTATTTCAGGGTGTGTGTGTGTGTGTGTTTGGGGAGGGGGAGTTGGGGTCCTTTATGAAAAAATCTTGATACGTGAACATAATTGGGTCTAACTTTACTGCAACAAATAGGAGGGGGAGGTAGCAACCGACCTATCAATAAACTTTTTCATACCAAATTAACAATAAAACTTAAGTTTGGGAAAAAGTGTGGGGAGGGGTACATGTAGTCCTACCGCTAATATTATTTACCATATAGGGGACCTACCCAGCCCACATGTTTCAGGCAACTTCATGAAAAATCTTTCAATATACATAATACGGAAAAAATTGATTATTCTTCGGCCCAGTGCATAAAAATTGCACTGTCACATTTTTAACTACTACTTGATGTTCTTAAATTGATTAAGTATAGTGTAATGAAATAAAAACGGAACTTTTAGATAATTTCAGCCTTGCCCATCCCCGCCCCCACACCTGTGCACTTCAGAAATATTACGTTTCCAAAACACTGTGTAACCCCTATTTTGTTTGTCTAGTTTGTTTTCAGGTATGCCCTTCGAAAGTACACAAGAACCCAACAGTACTCATTTTTAGCAACAATTCCTGGCTTAAATTGATTTCCTTTTAACGAAGGAAGATATTAAGTCACAATTTGGCATATGAAATTATATTTCTCACTTTGAACATTTTTGTTTTTGTGCCATTTTACAGAAATACAACCAAGACATAATTAAGTGCATTAATTGTAAACTACTAAATTTTGATCTGCTCTGTTATCCTATTTAGCAATTGCCTTTTGAAATTTTGAATAAGTTTGAAATATATCGAAATATAATTGAAATTTTAAACTGGCGAAAGTACATATTTGACAAGCATTTCCTTTGCAGTGGCGTTCATCGACGTCTGCAAGAATAGTCCAGAACTTAACAAAGTCTGTCTCTCCAATTATCAAGTTTTGCTTCCGATATTCTTCAGTTGAGAAGAACTCAAAAAAACTCGTTATGATTGGCCTTATTTTGTTAGCCCTTTCATGAGGTGGTGTCTCACTTCAAATAAACCCCTCCAAGTAAATCCTGTAATCGTCAATGAATATATCTTTCCCCGGACCACATTTAAATATGTTATCATTCCACCATATCTTTTGTTCATCTTCTGATAGCGCTGAATCTCTGCCATTTACAAGTGTGCGGATCTGTTCGAGTTTAGCGTTAGTTTTTTTCCATGTCGTCTGCACTAATGATGCCATCTTGGTCCGCATCAAGAAGTCTAACCCACTGGCGCCATTTATGCTCACTGAACCAGCGCTCTGTTCAAAACAATAGTGAACCATCATAAAGGATTAATTGCATACATAATTAAAAACAATTACATGTTGTCAAGTCAATATACATAAGCTTACTTTGTAATGTAAAGTATATGGTCCAAGCAATTTACTCATATGTAAAAGAGAATATTCACCTAGTCTGACTATATGTAAATTCTTCACTAGAAGTCAATGTACACGTGTGCAAATCTTGCTTGTCTCCTTTTTACATGCATTAAAATACAACCAGTTGCAAAATTATTAAAATTTGCACACAGTTTATAAATAAGCAAAGGTAAAGGGGACTTTTAAAAGCTACATGTAACATATCATGTTTACACAGTGAGATTTACGCATATGCATTTTTTTGTATATATGTAAAAATACTAAATATACCCAATGACCTGTAAGCATATCTCGGTGTAAACTAAATAACATAAATGCCCCCCTCCCCCCCCCCCCCAAAAAAAAAAAAAAAAAACTCCAGTAGGCATATTTACTCCTTACCAAGGCAGTTGTAAATATATTTTTACCTATATGCAAAAGCAAATATTGCTTGCTGCATATTGTGAATGGCTTATATAGGGTGGTTTTTGAGGTAGAAAACTTCTATGGATGAAACGATCAGTCTCTTTCGTATTCTAATCTCATTTTCCGAATGCTTAAAACATACATGTATGAAAGGATTCTTTTTTTCCAGTGTGAGGTCATTTTCGTGGAAATCGTGATATAAAAATTAATAGAATTGTAGATAGAGATGTATTCACTAGAATGCATAAAATTACACGACAACGCATAGTAAATTTACTTTTTTCACATGGGAGCAAATCTGCTCATAAGTAAATGTACACATGCGTACATTTCTCGCCTTAAGGATACTAGTAAATAACACAAACAAACTTTTTTTCAGAAATCAACAATATTTCTCATAGATTTATATTCAAATAATTAACCTGAATAATGTTTACCAGGTAAAGTTGGATAACTTTGTAAGATTTTGTCGCAATGTTAAAATTATATGCAAAATTTTGTATAGAATTATATAGAAAACAAAACAAAGTCTCATATTTAAGCATCAAAGAAAACTTACGATTTCTTTATATTTTAGGGATTTATTATTTATGTCATTTCTATTCAAAATCAGTCAAAAAATATATATATCAATCCAGGCATCAGATTTTTGTTTGTGTTATGTATCCTTAGATACAGAATATTATAATTAGCTAACATAATTAAAAACATGATTGCATGCATATTGAATGCATTTTGATGAAAATCTTTTCCAGTAAAGAAAAATATCATTCTTATATAGTTACAAATTTACATTGTTTAAGAGAGAGTGTTAGTGAAAAAAACTTGGCTGTAAATGCTATGCAAGTTGTTTTTTTTTAATTTTTTTTTAAGACTTTATAGCATCTGTTCTGTTTTTCTTTTAGAACAGCAAACACTCTATAACTGTTATGATTGAATATATCCTCGTTTGACACTAAAGCTACAAAATCCTCTAACAAAGAAGCAATAGTTAATGGTGAAGGTACATGTACATGCTTGACAAGCATTTTCTTGTAGTGATGCTCATCGACGTCTGCAATAATAGTTCAAAATTTGACTCTCTCTTCAAGTAGCAAATTTTTCTTCCGATATTCTTCAGTTGAGAAGAAATCAAAGAACCCTGTTATGATTGGCCTAAATTTGTTTTGCCTTTCATGGGGTGGTGCGCTTCCAGAAAAGCCCTTCCAAGTAGCTAATGTAATCCTCAAGAGATATATCCTTTCCTGGGCCACGCTTAAACACGTGGTTGTTCCACCATTTCTTTTGTTCATCTTCTGATAGCGCTGAATCTCTGCCATTTAAAAGTGTGCGGATCTGTTCGAGTTTAGCGTTAGTTTTTTCCATGTCGTCTGCACTAATGATGCCATCTTGTTCCGCGTCAAGAAGTCTAACCCACTGGCGCCATTTATGATGTATGAACCAACGTTCTGTTTAAGAAGATATATGTGTGTATAGTTGAGCCATAATAAATGATGAATTGCATGCATGCATACTTAATAACAAAAACATGTACATGAAGTCATGATACCTAGCCGGAAACGTTTGAAAAATTTCAGCTAATATGAAATTTTATTGAGCTTTAATAAAGACTTAGAAAATCAAACAACCCACTTTCACAAAAACATTGCATCTCATTGCTACTTATGTTGGGAATAAAAACTCTTTAGAAAAGATCTCTCTATGTACATGTAAGAGGTAACCATTGGTACATTTGGAATACATTTTAAATACTGAAAAATAAAAAAAAATCTCGACATTCACTAATAATAAGTTTTCTATGATCAAACTGATCTCAAAAACTATATTATCAATTCCAGTGAAGTGTGCCGTTTCGCATTACGTCACGATCTTTTACGATAGATGCGCCCAGCGTAAACAATTCACGACGCCGCTGTCTGATTGGTCAACTCATTTTATCAACATTGACATGGAAATAGTCTGTTGCACGAGCAACCAATCAAGGATAAGAAGAAACTACCAGTCATAAAGTTTGCGGTTAGGAGGCGTGTATTATATACCTTGATCGCAGCTGTCATCATAGGTTGTGACGTAATGCAAAACGGCACACTTAACTGGAATTAATAATATTAAAAAAATTGACCTTACGTAAGAAGGCATGATGTTATCATTTTAAAACTAACTTTCTTGGTTGCCTTGGTAACACAATGTAGCCACAAAAAACTAAGTTTTGATAAATGCTGGTATATGAAGGAAAGACAATGGAAATTCAAGACTGGCAATTATATATTGTTAGGACCTTGTAACACAGATAGCATAAGAAAAATCTAGATTGCCTGCTACATTGTAGTTTAACCATGGAAACAATGTACCGGTGGTTTTAAAGTGATATTTTTGTTGGGTTAGGAATTAACTTGCCTTTTATTAAGAAACATATTATTTGACTCACATTGAATGTACTTATCTGATAGAACTAAAGTTGATTATCATATATTGATAATGTTTAATGAAGAAAATCATACACTGTTGCTATGGTTATCAAGAAGAGAACATTTTCAATTTTGGTAACTTCCTGGCAATATTGAATCCTATGTGTTTGCATCTAGTTAGAGATTCTGTGCTAGTCAAAATTGAAAATCAGTTCAGTGTTTATAAATATCTATCATGAAAGTTTTGGGCATCTACATGCAAGAGAACGTATCCAAGGAAACAAAATATTTTTAGCTTTTTATTCATATTTTTCTATAATTCCATAGCAACACTCTATCTTAAGAATTAAATTTGTTTTTTTTTAAATGTGGAAATTAAGGCCACGTCGTTGCATTTAAAAATCTACCTCCAATTAAACTAAAATGTGTTCTTAAAAAATTAGGGTAAGATTAAACATATATGTAGTAAATTTGAAACCCCTTTGAGGTATTAAAACAATAGCAACCATAGCCAACCGATAAGAAATATCACATTTCTTCCTTGGACTCTGTTACAAAGATCTTTTTTTATTATTTGGTTGCATTTCATCCTATAAATTTCTTTTATTTTTGAGTATATGACTTAATAAAAATGAAAGAGTAAAATTATTACTTTTGAACAATTTGTTTCCATAGTAACATGTGTAATAGATGGTTTCCCAAACATGTTTATCATGCATTTAAAACATCAAGTCTTCTTCAACTTTTGGAAACAGCCAATGTCACTTTTCTTCATTTCGCTAAAGTAAACATGGGACTTTAAACATTTTCAGAACTGGTATTTTTAAACTATAGGGCATGATGCGATAGTAATCATGAAACATAGCAACCAATCTTTACCTGATTTGAGTTAATCTTACTTTGTAATGTGAAGTATAAGGTCCAGGCAATCAAGATATAACCAGCGTATGGCATTAACACTAATAGCTGTCCTATTTTGGCATTGTAGTAAAAGTCGTAGAACTCAGGATGACAGACAGATGTGTAGTTACTGTAGTCTTTGTTATACAAGCTAAAAATCTTTGTAGCTCCTGAAAGTATTAATTTCATTGTTATTAGTCAATTGATGTCAGAGAAAAGGTATCTTTCGTTTGGTCGGAACATTATATTTTGTACTAAAATTACAAATGCTTTAAGTATAAGTTTGAAAACTAACATGTATATTATCTTTACGCTTAAGAATAAATATACAGATTATAAGATTTACAAATTTACAAATATTTTATTTTATTTTATTTGGTGAGATAGATTATCTTTTCATTATTTGAAATGTATATCATTGAAGAAAAATGTGATCTGAAAAAAAATTATATGTGAGGTACATACCAGCAATACATATGCCAAAATTACATATGCGACATATAACAAGCCAGTACTAAGAAAAATGACTCCAAGCAAATTTCTTCCATCCATATCAGGTCTGGTTAATTTTTACGGCAAAGGACATGGAGCCTCGTCAGAAAGACCCACAGTATCGTGGCACACAGGACACTGCCCTCTGCTTTTATAAACGATTTAAGGCTCTCCTCGTCTTCCGTGTCCCCTTCTTTATTAAACTTCCTCCAGTAACACTGGACACTTTATTTCACTCCTTTGGAAAGAAGAGAAAAGGGTTTTGTCTTAGAATTCTTCTATGTCTATATCTCATTGAATTTTTGAATTTTAACATACGAAAATTAGCTCATGATTTTTGAAACTATCAAAGGAAAATTGCAATAAAGATGGAAAACTGAGTTTTGATTTGTTTTGAAAAAAAATATATCTAAGCAGTGTAACATAGATAATATATTGATAATAACAGTATTAAAAATATCTTATAATGTATATCTATACATTTACAGAAGTGATAAAAAGGATATTTAACACGAAAGAAGTAGCAAGGGTGAATTTGTTGTAATTAGAGACCTTTCGAATGGGAATACATGTAAGATTTGACTCACCGTAAAAAATATAGGAAATAGAAATTGCCAACATTATTAGCCAGATAATCTGCTGTGGAACTGAAATAAGATATATTTTTTTAAAATTTATACATCGCCTTGTCTATATGGTTAAACATTCTAAATATTGTCATACGGACAGCACTAATCAGGGAAAAAAGTTTTACATGTATGTATAGAGAGTTTTTGTCTATATAGAATAATATTTCACAGAATATTGTCATTGTAAATATATTTACTTTGGGCCGAAGGCCCTTGGGCTGATATTGGAGTCTCGGGTTGATATGGGTGTGATACAGAATCTGTCATGTATTATTCTCTATATAATTCATTTGTTGAAAAACCTTGTATCGTTGTGTTCAATTTTAACGTTTGGCAGGAGAACAAATATCAACATAAAGAAAATGTCAGTTATCTTTCATTGGTGAAAAAAATCAAACAAATAAGCAAAACACCCCACTCCCCCCCCCCCCAAAAAAAAGAATCAAACACAAAATTAAAAGAAAAGCAAAGAGATCTTATAGTTCCCCAATAGTATACCCTTTGAAAATTTCAGTCAAGAACAATTGTGTCTTGAATTATGATGTCACTGAACAGATTATGGTGGAAAACCCTGTATAAATAAATTGATCAAGTAAAAAAAATATTATCATACGTTCTCCTTAATTAATTAATTTATTCGACAAAATTCATTGTATAGTAAGTGGCACAATGTTTACTAGGGCCACATGAAAAGTGTGACAATTTTCAAAAATTTACTTCTAGAACTTAAAAAGAAAAAAATAAATTTCTTTTAAATGTAGATATACATTTCATAACGTAAACTGATTGATTGTATATTGTTTTACGTCCCATTCGATAATCTTTCACTCATATAAAGACGTCACCATATACCGGTTAAGGGCTTCAAATTTTGACCTTTACTCGGCACTCAGGGCCATTGAGCAGTGAGGGATCTTTATCGTGCCAACGCCTGTTGTGAAACGGGGCCTCGGTTTTTAAGGTCTCATCCGAAAGACCCGACCTTTCACTTCAGTGTGCCGAGCGCATGGCGAAGGAACAGTTGCTACCCATTTTTTATCGACTTAGGTCACTCGCGGCCGAGATTCGAACTCACGACCTCCCGATAACGGAGCGAGCGCTCTACCGACTGAGCTACCGTGAACGGTTATAAGGTAAATTATGAAGCCATATAATACATTTCTTTTCATTAAAGAAATGATTAAAACCTTACTGGACATTTCAAAGCATTCATGAACTTTTTCCCACAAATTTCTGTTATCTTCTTTGTATGGATTAGATTTTTGTGACCTCCGGGGGGCTATTGTGAGCACTGTATCATAAGAGGGAGGGAGATCTTTAAAAAAAAAAAACAATAAAACAACTGTTTGTTAGTTATCCATACCGTGTGACAATCAATTAAAGAATAAAATGCTTTCTTTGGCTGTTTGTATAAAAATCAATATATTGCAGCTGTTGGAGAAAAAAATACATACCCCGCTTATGCTGGTTATATATATATATATATATATATATATATATATATATATATATTATATATATTATATATATTATATATATATATATATTATATATATATATATATATATATATATATATATATATATATATATATATATATATATATATATTCTGCAAAAGCTGCAATATTTATTCTCATGAAATACAAAGAAAAACATTTATTGTGTACATTTATATGTCTATAAATAATCATATACAATAGTTTTCCATTGTAAGTACGTTTAATATTGTGTTATTGATATGCACGTCATTCTATGTTTCATTGATGGAAGAGCCACCTCTCAAGAAATCTCAATACAGGTAGCTTGATTAGCGGTGTTAAAGTATTAATATACGAACGTGGTTTTCATAAGAAATAAAGGAGGTAATATTCATTTGATCGTGTGGATGTAAATACTGAATATTTACTGCATCATGAGGTATCAGTAAGCGGAAATGCCTTCTCAGGATATGTCATACAATTTTAAAATTCATTTGATGAAAAAAGAAAGAAAATTCTGCATATTAGCGACTGTTTGT